CTAAAATAGAAGAGAGGGGAAGAAATTTAAAAATCCACACAAACATATTCTACTCCCAATCAAACATTCCATGACATAGCTTTTTTAAAATTCTCAGGCACAATAAAAGATGTGAAATACCTTGGCACTACCCTTATCCTACCTCTCAAAAACCATTCAGAGAGGTCAACTCAACTTTCTATCAACATCCATTTTGATATCAAGTAAATCTTTGTGAACTTCTTTCAGTTTTTAATGGCTAAATCCCCCTCCCAAGCCAGCTTTTCTGTGCATACACTGATGTCCTTTCCATTCATCCCAAACAATACCCCTAACTCTTCCCCCTCACTGCTTCTCTTGTAGTGTCTTCCATGTTATCACTGTCAGCCTTTAATATATCCCCTGGAGTACAAATTTATTTTCTCAAGACTTTCATACAAATCAACTAGGACCTGAAATAACCACAACCTACAACATTATAATATGGAGATGATGCAACATTAGCTTTTTTCTATTTCACTTTGAACTCTGTCCTTAAATTTGCTTTAAAGAAAATGGTTGAGACAAGCCATGAAATTGTCTTCGTGCTTAGTTTTCCATGCTGTATTTAGGTATTTGATGCACCTTCCCATTGCATTATCAAGATTTTTAAAACCACTCAGAATATGCTTAATGCTTTTGAGAAACCTGAAAGACTAGGAACTGAAAGGATAGATTGTGAGGTCTTTGACAATTTCAGGGAAAAAAAAACCCACCACCACAATGGACCCACAAAGGAACTGACTCATAAATGTTCCCTAACAGATCCCATTTGGCTCATTTCCTGACAATCTTCATGTCAGGCAGAATACTGATGACAGGTAGGACCTTAGGCAGCCTGTTGCTATGTCATGGTGAAAACAAGGAACATCATACTAAGCAAGAGAAAGATGCCCACTCACTTTTCTGTTTGTTTTATTATGTTCTATGGCTATGGAAGTAAAAGACTGCTTAAAGAGTCACTGAGAGCACGTCAATCTGAGACACTGACATTCTGTTGCAGTTCATCATCACCTTCATGACATTTTGTCAGTCAATAAAAGTCAAAGGGATGGTTTACCATCAGTGGCTCCTAGCCTCTGTGATGTTGTGAATCCAAGGAGTCACACATATACAGTACACAATTTTTATCCCCCTTTCAATTTGGAGGCACCAGCTGCATGTTAGAGAGAGCAGAGGATATAGAGACAAGTAAGATCAAAGTCCCTGGCCTTTATGGGGTTTAAAATTGAACTGAGAGATAAGAGAAATACCCATAAAGATTAGGGAAAGGGGCATACAAAAGGAACACAAATTCTAGGGCTGGTTGTAGGAAAGATATTCTATTAAGTTGAAAGGAAGTCTCTATTAAACAAGGTCTTAATGGATGGGTAGGACTGACAGGTAGTAGAAATGGGGAAAGGTGGAGAAGGAGGACCACCACATTCAAGGCAGAGATAAAGCATAAGCAAAGTGAAGAGGAAACCCTCTTCCAAAATACTCTTGGGAATATTTTGAAAAGCAGACCAGTTTGACTGATCTTAGGACACATATGGGAGAGCAATAAGGATGGTTGGATCCATGAAATAGAGGCCCCCAATACCATTCTGTAGTGTCTGAATTTTACCATGTTGGCAAGACAGAGCAACTGAAGTTTTTTGAGTAGGAATGTAACATGATCAAAACTTCACTGCATAAGGAACTCAGGCCACAGTAATGAAGAATGAATTCTTTTCTGGGGTCATGAGCTGCTTTGGCAGTCTGGTGAAGTCTATAGGTCCCTTCTCAGAATAATGTTTTTAAATGCATAAAATAAAATTAAATACAAATTAAAAAATTTAAATACAAAATTAATTTAAATACAAAGGAAACCAATTCTACTGAAATAGTTATCAAAATATGTTTAAAAAACAAAATCACAGACCTTAGGCTAATAATATCTGCTCTAGAGTAATTTAAAGTCCATTAAAAATAGAATACTTGATGAATGAGAATGGCTGTTAATTCATGTAGAATTATTGATAGGTGGTGGGAAAACTCATCATGACTGGGGGTGCCAGGTCTCCTTCATCCCTTCCCCTGGGCTGTCCCAGAAATCTGGGACTATGAGGCAATAGGAAGACCAATCCCTATGAAGGAAGCCTTTCCCCTTGCCTTTTCCCTTTATTCCCTTTTCCTGCCAGGGGCTGCCAAGAATCCATCTGGGTTTCTCGACTGCTCACAGGGCATGAATGAGATGGGAGTCAACAACTCTATTCCTTCTGGCAAGATTGGAAGACCACCAGGCCTTACCATCTGTCTTTCCTCTACACCCTGCAGACCCCCAGCACTATCATCTGACCTACTGACCCTAATCTACATACCCTTGGGCCTTGCCATCTGCCCTTAAGACTTCTCAGTTTTTCCTTCCTCCCTGCAGCTGATTTTTTTTTGTTTTTAATCTACTGCCTCCCCCAATTAGAGCATAAGCTCCTTGAGAACCAGAATGATCTTTCTATTTGTAACCCCAGTGCTTAGCACATAGAGCTTTGCACATAGAGCAAGCATTTAATAAATGCTTTTTCATTCACTGATTCATTCAAAATAGCTACAAGGAAGTCTGGTTGTCAATCTCACATAAAGAAAAAACAAGACTAAAATTAATAATCATGACTGGCACAAACTGCAGTTTTTATTCAAATTCAATTAAACTAATCTTTTAAAAAAAATACAGTCTCCAAGGAGACACATTTGATAAGCAGCTTTATTAATGGCAAGTTAAAAGTTCTCTCTTCTTTAAAATTAATTGAAACATGTTGCATTGATAATGAACACAGAGATGTGGATTTCTGCCTTCTCAAATTTCCTTCTCTCCCCACTTCCATACAACTTATGACACTCAGCCCTGAGGATGAAGTTTGCTTCCTTGAGATTTAAGACTTTAGAATAATGCCAGCTGATTCTGGAATAAATCCAACAAATAAGTGAGATTCCTAAACATCAGAAAATTCCAATTACAGGACAGAGACCTAAATCCAAACCAGTATTTTAAGGAAATTAAATATTTAATCTGAGTCAAGTGGCTTCTTTAGGAAATATCCTGGTGTTAGCTCAATCCTTTCTTGGCAGAGGTACATTTTGGCAGATACAAGGGTGGTGACTGCCCAACACTCAATAGCTCCTTCAGATTGAAGTCAGATGTACACAGCATTCTCAATTTAAACTGATTAAACACACAGACTAAACCAGGTAATTACAAATGCATGTGTTGGCAATTGGGAAAGGGAGGAGACAGAATGGGGACTTGCTTATTTTTTAAAGTGTTTTCAAAGATGGGAACAATTTTACAAAAGGAAAAAAAAAGTGGAATTACGCCAAATACAGAAACAGATGTTTGGGGGTAGTTAAACTGTTGGGAATTCAAACTTCTTGTCTAGCATCACCTGGTTTTGATTCTGGATTCATGGGCTCAGGTTAGTTTTACCTCGATAGAGTACTATCTCAAGTTTTCAAAAAAATATTAACTTACCACCACTGGGACTAAAAGTGGTCCAACATCTTGTCTTTTTATTCCCTTGATTTCATTTTTATGGAAGGTACAACAAAGAGTGAATAATTTTTTTTTTGATTTGGTGAAAACTACATTTTTATAACCTCTGATAGAGCAATGAAACAAATAGATGATGAATTTATCAATGTGTTAACAGAATCTTCAATATGGACACCCAAAGCTATTATTTAACTTTTAAATGCTTCTTGGACAATTGAAATTTTAAAGAGGAAAAAAAAAATTTGTTCTTGGACTTGAATTAAAGCATCCATGTTCAAATCAGTGTGAGTGCTCTCCCTTGAGGTACAATTTTTGTCCATCTCTTTCTGTAAATCCTCCAAAGAGGGTCGACCCAATGTGTTACACGAAAGGTGAGTATAAACTGTCTAGCTGTCAGTGTTCAATGTCTCTGTGTAACCAGGCAATGTCCTTTTCCAATCATAAATATCATGATGATGTCTTCCCGACACATCTTGCACACATGCTATCATTAGTAACATGATGCAGCCTTACAATATCAAGTTTTTGCACTACCATTTGAGGTCACCTACAGTTCTGATTCTTCTCTGATCATGCTGTTTTATGATTCATAACCATATGGTACCACTGGGAGAATATTAGGTAGTGTGAAAGAGATGGGCTTTTTGAAGGAGTTCAGCTTGAGATCACTCAATAATAAGCATTGAACAACTTCTCAATTGTAATCCAGCCCCTCCTTGACCTATTTATTAAATTCTGTGCATAGTTCTCTTCCTGTTCAAGATATGCATACTAATGAACTAATACAACATGCTGCCAGTCAACTGAACGTTGTTACCTGGGCGACACGTTTTTCATGTGCATTGTCTTTTTTATGTGGATGAGAGATCATTTAACTGAGAAGGTCTTTGTATTATAAGAGGTGAAGAAGTTTTAGTTAGCACACTGTGAACCACAAATAGCAAATCAGGAACATCTGGAATACCTAAGTATTGAGAAGAACATCCTACCATTTGGAATAGAAAATATAATACTGGACTCAAACAGTTAATTCAATGTTAGGTAAATCTGACTGATTTGACTGGGGCCTTCAACAATGCAAATCTGCAGACTATCTACCAAGTAAACTGGGGCCATCTCTAGTAGTCCTGATGTGTATCTGCCTGGACCCAAATGGCTCTGGAGGAGAAAATGAGGCTGGTGACTTGCTCTGCCCTTCCTCACTTAAATCCAATTCACTTGCATGTCATGGCATCACCTCCATGATGTCATAATCCTCTTCAAGAATGAAGGACAAACAACAACCTGTGAGTAGTAGAAGTTGCTCTACTGGGAACCCAACTGGAACTGGCCAGTTGGGCAATATAGCTCCCTCTTCCTTTCTTTCCTTCTTCCTTTCTAACTTCACAAGATACCTTGGGGTTTACAGGCTAGATTTCTTTCTTAAGGACCATGCTTTAAACCCAAACCACTCTGGCTGTCACTGATTGACCAG